TGCCAAGATCCCCAGGGCTGAATAGAGAAAAGGTCCTCAGATCTCCTCCAACATCTTTCTCTCTGCACAATGAGTTGCCACAGGAAAATCATAATGCTTGACATTGCCAGTTTCATCAAGCAGGAATTCTCTTATTGAAGATCATGACATAAAGTGGGTCTATCCTGAAGAAAGTACAGCACTGACAGCACCTGCTGGAATATTGATCTAGCAAACTTTAACCTCTGGAAGCAAAACCAAAAAATGGAATCACACTCTGTCTACCAAAGTCCAGGAGATTGGAGATTCCTAATTACCAGACAGAGCCAATATAATTCCAAACTCTATGGAGGCAACCAGGAGTTATTCCAAGATATGGGATAAAGCCAATTTAAGCTGTGTCTAACGTGCCCTATTTGCAAACATTTTTCATAATGCATCCTTGTGCTGTCAGCACAAGAAACCAATCAATCATGACTTGTCAGAAATAACAGTGTTTTGATCAGGTTGTGTACTGAATATTCTTCTCATGTTGACCATACCCCAGTCCAAAATCAACTGTAGGCAGTGAGTGTTTATTTGTGTTCAGGCTTCCAAGAGACATTGAAACATTTGTGGTGAGAGCTTGTTGTTCCTATAGAACTGATAGTTAGGTGGCTGGTAACCCTGCAATAGAACTTCTCTCTCCTCAAAAGACAAACTTTCTCTAGCTAGCTCCACATCCATATTTCCACAAATTCCCAAACTAGAAACCATGCTCAGCACAACTGACATACATTTAACAAAATGGCTGTGGTAGTCTGAAGTATAAATCTCTCATACAAATGGTGTGTTTGAACTCATGGACACACAGCACAGTTGATGTCACAGTTGGGACTTTGCATGGTGGCGCTCTAGTGTCAGAAGTCCATCACCGGGACTGTCCTTGAGGTGAAAAAACCTCAAGTGTCTTTGCTCCCTCTGCTTCCTTCTGAGGTTGGAGTGCATGACAGTCCCCTCCTTTGCCTTCAAGCTTCCAGCTAGCTGCCATGCTTATGTCACACTATCTATCAAGGGCTCTTATCCCTCCAAACATGAGGCAGATGTGCTATTTCTTGAAATTTCCTGTTTATGAATTGGTATGACTACAGAAAAGTAACCAACAAACATGGGTTTTACAAAGGGGGTTTATACCGTTCCCTATCTCAGCTGTGTTGTCCATATATCAAGGATGATTCATTGCTGTCACACAGTCACACATTGACTGTGTCCCATACACCAGCACAAACCTGCATAAGACCAAACAATACTCCATTATTTTACATTACACTGATGTGACTGGGACAACATAAGAGGCCACTGGCAGTGGGTTCAACATCTAATGTGAATGTACAACCTGGCTTAGTGGGGCCCATTCTATATGGAGAGACATTTTGCCCAGTCTACACACAGGGTTGTAGGGGTAAAGAAGTTCCTTGTCCCTGCCTCAAGGAGATGATGAGTCACACTTCTTAAACTTCCAAAGGGAGGCATTACCCTCTCAAAGGAGCAGATGGGACAGAAGTAGAGGGATAGGGAGGAGATGAGGGAGGGAGTAACTTGGCCTGGAATGTCAAAAAACAATTAATAAAACAGGGTGAAATCATAAAAAAATTACTGCTACAAGTAGATTCAGTTGCAGATTCCTTCCTGTGTTATGTAGTGCAGGCCTCATATAAAATAAACCTTTATCCTGGCAGTGCAGGACCTCTCCTTTTCCCAGAGACTTGAAATCTATGGAGACATAATTTGTTTGATGGAAATGAAATTGCTTAAGACTCCCAAAGCATGGACATCCTTCCTAGAGTCGTTTGGCTTGGAAGCATGCCCTTTTCCAGTATCAAAGTCCTTCCAGAACTCACCTCGTTTTTATTTGTTTTCAAAACCAGGTTTCTCTGTGTAGCCTTAACTCTCCTGGAGTTAATTTTGTAGACCATTATGACCTCAAACACTTTGTCCTTGCCTCTGCATCCTAAGAACTTAAAAGTCCAAATAATACACCAAGCAGCACAATGTGAAAGAGCCAATTGGTTAACAACCTGCTGTCGTGTTTCAGGAAAATTCACTGATTAATCTGGCAATTAAAAGAAGTACCTGTAATGACCCACAAACATTGCAGTAACCCATAAACTAAGGAAAGGGATACTTTCAAATATTTCTATGAAACAAACTCTTCTCACAAAGCCCTTACTATCTTACCAAGTAAAGACACCTTGAAAATAGATGGCTGTCTGACAGGGTCATTGACTAAGAACATGGGAGTGTTCTAAGGACAAGAATAGATACATCCTTTACTTCATCCTCAGTGACACTTGGAAAACACCATTCTTTGTGAACAAGATGTCTTCACTTGAAAGATAAGAATCACTCCACATACAAAAGCAGACAAAGAGCATAGCATAGTCACAACCTAAAGTTTAGTTTGAAGGCAGGAATTCCCAATGCCAAGGACAATCACAAAACTAAAGAAAGTTTTAATACAAGCAATTCAATTCTACAAACACAAAACATCAATTGTCTAACTCGGGACATATTCAGAGAAGGGAATAAATATTTGTATATTGGGAAGTACTGGTCGTATGACATGGGCAAGGAAGTGACAGAGAGCTTCTGAATATTATCAACTTCTCTCCTAGACAAAAATGTGATCTTGATCACATTCCTCATTGTGTACATACATACCACCAAAGTATAAAATAATCCACAATATACCTAACAGTGTCAAATAAATGAGGTTCTAAAACATGGATAATCTCAGTCAGAGAAGGAATTGAAATATAGCTTAATTTTAAAGAAATACATGTTGTCAAAAATTCAATCAATGGTGAAACCCACAGAGACAGGTGACCTGAAGTAGTGGGAACTCATGGACTCCACTGGCGACTGAGAGGACAGCATGGAGCTGATTCAGACCCCCTGAACCTGGGTGTCAGAGAGGAGGCCTTGGCCAAACTATGGGCCCTCAGATAGTAGATCAGTATTTATCCCTGGCATACAAATGGACTTTGGGAGTCATTCCACATGGAGGGATGCTCTGTCAGCCTGGACACAAGGGGGAGGGCCTAGACCCTGTCCAGAATGATAGGACACACTTTGAAAGTCCCTCTTGTGGAAGCCCTTATCATTCCTGGGGCACAGAGGAGGGATGGGGTGCAGGGTTGGGGGGTCCAGGGAGCTGTGGAGAGAGAGGGAGCTGGGAGTAACATGTGAAAAACTTAAATAAAATTTTTAAAAAATCAATAAACACCAAAACAAGTAAAGTCAAACAGATAATCAGGGAAAAAATTGCTGTTTAAAGAAACAACCAGCTTGGAGAGTTCAAATTATTGAGAAATGACTGACTACAAATGCTCCTTCACCAAACAAATCATTTGTAGTACAGAGACAGAACCCACCCCAGGTAACCTTACACTGACTGCTATCTAGCTTACTTGAGTCCTTGTGATGTCACATGCAACAGGCCAATCACAGTTCAGCCATAGCCATGGGGATTTGTTCTTTTTTCCCTCTCTTAGTGTCCTTATCAACTACACTTATATTTGTAATGCCTATGAACCAGTACCTTCAAGAGATTTACTTATGAGAGGGCACCTTTTTTTAACCGTGAGGTACAAAGGCCTCCTGCAACATCAGAAGGAAAATTGGGAGTTGCTTGATGCCTGGATCTATGCTTTGGGGATCCCATCCTCATGGTACAGGCTACCAAGAGGCTGCCAGCATACTAATCCCACCTATACCCACAGGACTAGGTAAGTGTTGGCCTATTCATGGTCCTCCTTATGGTGCTCTTCTCAAAGTTGACTGATTTGTGGGGATGATGCACTAGGGATCCCATGACGGTGGCCCAGACCAGTCCACACAGATCCTGCCCGCATCCTAGTCCCACCTCTACCCATGGGACTAGGTAATTATGGGACTGATGCCCTGCTTGGAGTCCCCTAAGGCCTGAGGACTGAGAAATGGAGATGCCATCCCAGCAGTCCATTACAGCCCACCCAGAGACTGCCAAAGCCCTGGAACTAGTCCAGCCTCCACCTATGGGAAGAGCAGAGTCATGGGAATATTGGGCCTCCTTGTACCCAATAGTTTGGGAACCTTGGACCCGAAACTCCCAGGAGAGGAAGAGGCTCCTCCTGCTCTCAATGGAAGAAGAATGGGAATAAGGCACATTCAACAACAGAAAATCAAAAATGATACCACCAGAATCTAGGGAAACTACACCAGCAAACCTAACATCCCAACACAGATGAAGCAGAAGATAATGATTTTAAAATCAACTTCAGAAAAAGATACGGACCCTCAAAGAGAATATGAGAAAAATCACTTCAATAAATGGAAGAAAAAAGTAACAGGAAAATACAAGGAATCAGCAAATCTCTTAAAGGAAGGCAGGAAAAACAAACAATCAAACAGATGAAGGAAACATTTCAAGACCTGAAAACTGAAATAGAGCCAATGAGGAAACACAAATTGAGGGAATGCTTGAAATAGAAAGGCTGGGTAAAATATCAGGAACTACAGATGCAAGCATAACCAACAGAATACAAGAGATGGAAGACCGATCCTCAGGCACTGAAGATAAACTATAGGAAATGGATTCCTTGACCAAAAAAATTCTTAAGTCCAACAAATCCCTAACACAAAATATTCAGGAAATATGGGACACCATGAACTGACCAAACCTAAGAATAATGGGTATAGAAGAAGGAAAAGAAACCTACCAGAAAAGGTGCAGAAAACATATTCAACAAAACCATTGAAGAAAAGATTCCCAAACTAAAGAAAGACATGCCAATGCATATTGAAGAAGACTACAGAACACCAAATAGACTGAACCAAAAAAAATTCCAATGCCAGATAATAAGAAAAATTTCAAACTAGAGAATAAAGAGAGAATATTAAGAATAGCTAAGGAAAAATGACAAGTATCATATAAAGGCAAGCCTATCAATAGAATTACACCAGACTTCTTCATGGAAACTATGGAGCCATAAGGTACTGGACAAATATTCTACCAACACTAAGAGACCATGGATCCCAGCCAGCTCAGACTACTACACCAGAGCTTGACATCACTTTCACTGCAGGTGAGGACACAAAACAAACACTCTAATCCTTGTGCACACACACACACACACACACACACACACACACACAAAGTTTTCTTTTTAACATGATCATCACTACCAATGTTTCACATGTACTGCTTTACATCATGCAATGCAAGACATGTACAGCTAGTGGAAATTTTCTTCACTGTTTTTATTGGACATATCCATGTTTTGGCAGGCAATTCACAGTTTTACCTATATCAACGGGGGTGATTTCTAATATTTAACATGTTCCCTCATACTAAAATAAATTATCATTGAACTTTACTTAAATGACAAAACTTAACTTGCTTTCCAGCCATGTTTTCAATGCATTCTCTGTTTTGAGGATTTCCTCTTTACTTTTTGTTAGACTTATGTTTTTTTTCATTTCTACTGTGGTTTTATTCTCTAGTACATATGGCAGTCATTTAGCTTCTATTTTCAGCTATCATTTCATTTTGCATTTGTCTTCTGAATATATTGCAGAAATTACTTGTACCCCTGAATGTGTTGTTCCACAATAAACTCATTGATGGAGTTTTTTCATTTTTTATTTTAATTTTAAATAGCTTGTTTTACATGTCAATCCCAGTTCCCTCTCCCTCCCCTCTTCCCGCACTCCCCTTCCCCCTCCCTCCCACCCTATTGCCAAATCCTTCCACATAGGGGATATCTAGAGTCTGTCATTTTACTCTTGGTAGGGTCAAGGCACTCCCTAAGAGTCCAGGCTGAGAGAGCATCCTCTTTGTGCTATAGGCACATGAAGACAGTTTGTATACCAGGGATAGACACTGATCCACAGCTCAGGGCCCCATAGGTTGCCCAGGCCTTCTCGCTGACACTCACATTTGGGGGTCCAGATCAGTCCCATGCTGGCCTCCCCACTGTCGGTCTGGGGTCCAAGAGCACTCCCCTGTTCAGATCAGCTGTCTCTGCTGGTTTTGCCAGCCCATTCTTTGCCAATTTGCTCATCACTCCTCTCTGTCACTGGGTTCCTTGGGTTCAGTTCAGTGATTAGTTGTGTGTTTGCCTCTGCTTCCATCAGTCACAGGATGAAGGCTCCCGGATGGTTATAGACATCAAGTTCATTATCAGGAATGGGCATTCGAGGTGGTCCCTCCACTATTGCTTAGCTTGCCAATTGATGTTATACCTTTAGATCACTCGAGGTCACTCTGGTGCCTGATCTGTCTTCGATCCTATGATTCCCTCTTCCCCCTATTCTACCCCCACCCCCTCAACTTCCTGTTCCCCCATGACCAACTCCCTTCCTCTTTACCCCCTCTATTCTTCCCAGGTCCCACTCCCCTCCCCTCGCCGTGTTCCCCATCCATTCAGAGGATCTTGTCTCCATCCTCTTCTCTTGGGTACTATGCATATATGCATATCTTTTAGGTTCTTTCCTGTTTCCCAGACTTCTATCTGTGGAAGTGCAGACTGGCACTATCCTGATCCATGTCTAAAATCCATATATGAGTGAGTACATACCATGTTTGTCTTTTTGCGACTGGGTTACCTCACTCAGGATGGTTTCTTCCAGTGCTATCCATTTCCCTGCGAATTTCAAGATTCCATTGTTTTTTTCTGCTGAGTAATACTCCATTGTGTAAATGTACCACATTTTCTCTATCCACTCTTCAGTTGAGGGGCATCTAGGTTGCTTCCAGGTTCTGGCTATTACAAACAATGCTGCTATGAACATAGTGGAGCAGATGCCCTTGTTGTATGAACCTGCCTCATTTGGATAAATGCCTAAGAGTGGAATTGCTGGGTCTAGTGGTAGATTAATTCCCATTTTCCTGAGGAATCTCCATACTGATTTCCAAAGAGGCTGTATGAGTCGGCATTCCCACCAGCAGTGGAGGAGTGTTCCTCTCTCTCCACATCCTCTCCAGCATAAATTGTCTTCGGTGTTTTTGATTCTAGCCATTCTGACAGGAGTAAGATGGTATCTCAGAGTTGTTTTGATTTGCATTTCCCTGATGGCTAAGGATGTTGAGCACTTTCTTAAGTGTCTCTTGGCCATTTTAGCCTCCTCTACTGAGAATTCTCTATTTAGCTCTGTACCCCACCTTTCAAGTGGATCCTTTGGTGTTTTGGAGACTTGTTTCTTGAGTTCTTTGTAAATTTTGGAGATTAGCCCTCTGTCAGATGTAGGGTTAGTGAATATCTTTTCCCATTCTGTGGCCTGCCTTTTTGTCTTTTTGACTGTGTCCTTTGCCTTACAGAAGCTTTTTAGTTTCAGAAGGTCCCATTTGTTAATTGTCGATCTCAGTGCCTGTGCCACTGGTGTTATGTTTAGGAAGTGGTCTCCTGTACCAACTCGTTGAAGAGTATCTCCCACTTTCTCTTCTAAAAGTTTCAGTGTGGCTGGATGTATGTTGAGATCTTTGATCCATTTGGACTTAAGTTTTGTACAAGGCGATAAACATGGATCTATCTGCAGTCTTCTGCATACCAGTACCCAGTTATGCCAGCACCATTTGTTGAAGATGCTTTCTTTTTCCACTGTACAGTTTTAGCTTCTTTGTCAAAAATCAGGTGTTCATAGGTGTGTGGGTTAAAATTAGGGCTTTCGATTCGGTTCCATTGGTCTACCTGCCTATTTTTGTGCCAATACCAAGCTGTTTTCAGGACTATAGCTCTATAATAGAGCTTGAAGTCAGGTATGGTGATGCCTCCTGAAGTTCCTCTATTGTATAGGGATGTTTTGGCTATCCTGGGCCTTTTGTTTTTCCATATAAAGTTGATTAATGTTCTTTCCAGGTCCTTGAAGAATTGTGATGGAATTTTGATAGGGATTGCATTGAATCTGTAGACTGCTTTTGGCAAGATTGCCATTTTTATTATGTTGATCCTACCAATCCAAGAGCATGGGAGATCTTTCCATTTTCTGGTATCTTCTTTGATTTCTTTCTTCAAAGACACAAAGTTCTTGATATACAGGTCTTTCACTTCCTTGGTTAACATTATCCCCAGATATTTGATGCTGTTTTTGGCTATTGTAAAAGGTGATGTTTCTCTGATTTCTTTCTCAGTCACTTCATCTTCTGTATATAATAGGGCCACTGATTTTTTTGAGTTTACCTTGTATCCTGCCACATTGCTGAAGGTGTTTATCAGCTCTAGGAGTAACCTTGCGGAGTTTTTTGGGTCACTTATGTAAACTATCATATCATCTGCAAATAGTGAAAGTTTGACTTCTTCTTTTCCTATTTGTATCCCCTTTATCTCCTTTTGTTGTCTTATTGCTGTAGCTAGAACTTCAAGTACAATATTGAAGAGATATGGAGAGAGTGGACAGCCTTGTCTTGTTCCTGATTTTAGAGGAATTGCTTTGAGTTTCTCTCCATTTAGTTTGATGTTAGCTGTTGGTTTACTGTATATTGCTTTAATTATATTCAGGTACGTTCCTGTTATCCCTGATCTCTCTAGGACCTTTATCATGAAGGGGTGCTGGATTTTGTCAAAGGCTTTTTCAGCATCTAGTGAGATGATCATGTGGTTTTTCTTTTGCAGATTGTTAATATGGTGGATTACATTGATAGATTTTCTAATGTTAAACCATCCCTGCATTCCTGGAATGAAGCCTACTTGATCATGGTGGATGATTTTTCTGATGTGTTCTTGAATCCGGTTTGCAAGTATTTTATTGAGTATTTTTGCATCAATGTTCATGAGGGAAATTGGTCTATAGTTCTCTTTCTTAGTGGTGTCTTTGTGTGGCTTGGGTATCAAGGTAATTGTAGCCTCGTAGAAAGAGTTTGGCAGTGAGCCTCCTGCTTCTATTGTGTGGAATACTTTGACGAGTATTGGAATGAGCTCTTCTTTGAATTTCTGGTAGAATTCTGCACTGAAGCCATCTGGGCCTGGGCTTTTTTTGTTTGGGAGACTTTTGATGACTGCTTCTATTTCATTAGGGGTTATAGGTCTGTTTAGATTATTTATCTGTTCTTGATTTAGTTTTGGCAAGTGATATCTATCCAGGAAATTGTCCATTTCCTTTAAATTTTCAAATTTTGTGGAGTACAGATTTTCAAAGTATGCCCTGATGATTCTCTTGATTTCCTCAGAGTCCGTTGTTATGTCCCCTTTTTCATCCCTGATTTTGTTAATTAGCATGTTCTCTCTCTGTCTTTTGGTTAGTTTGGACAGAGGTTTGTCTATTTTGTTGATTTTCTCAAAGAACCAACTCTTTGTTTCATTGATTCTTCTCAGTGTTTTCCTGGTTTCTACTTGATTGATTTCAGCCCTCAATTTGATTATTTCCTGGCGTCTGCTCCTCCTGGGGAGTTTGCTTCTTTTTGTTCTAGAACATTCAGCTGTGCTATTAATTCTCTAGTATGACTGTTCTCCAGTTTTTTCATGTGGGCACTTAGTGCTATAAACTTTCCTCTCAGCACTGCTTTCAAAGTGTCCCATAAGTTTGTGTATGTTGTGTCTTCATTCTCATTGAAATCGAGGAAGTCTTTAATTTCTTTTTTTATTTGTTCCTTTACCCAGGGATGGTGCAATTGTGCATTGTTCAATCTCCATGAGTTTGTAGGGTTTCTGCGATTTGTGTTATTGTTGAATTCTAATGTTAATGCATGGTGGTCTGATAAGATGCAGGGGGTTATTCCAATTTTTTTGTATCTGTGGAGATTTGCTATGTTTCCTATTATGTGGTCAATTTTAGAGAAGGTTCCATGTGGTGCCGAGAAGAAGGTATATCCCTTTGTATTTGGGTGGAGTGTTCTATAGATGTCTGTTAAACCCAGTTGGGTCATAACTTCTATTAATTCTTTTGTTTCTTTGTTAAGTTTCTGTCTGGAGGTCCTGTCTAGCGGTGAGAGCGGAGTGTTGAAGTCTCCTACTATTAGTGTGTGAGATTTTATGTGCATTTTGAGCTTTAGTAATGTTTCTTTCACGAATGTAGGTGCCTTTGTATTTGGGGCATAGATGTTTAAAATCGAGACTTCGTCTTGATGTATTTTTCCTTTGATGAATATGAA